TTCTGTCGGTCGACCGATATGAGCTCTCGGTCGACCGGACCGGTCGACCGATGACTCTCTGGAAAAATACTGACGAATGGTCACTAGACCGGTCGACCGTACCGGTCGACCGAAAACAGACATCCCAGATTCTGAAAACTGTTTATCTGATTTTAAAACACTGTTTAAAAATATCAAATAAATTCAGAAAAATGTAAAACTTTGGGGAATGATTGTAGACATGATAATAAACATGCTACAACGACTGGTTTCGAAAAAGGACTTCCCAAATGAAAAATATCATCATTTTACAAAATAGTCCAAAACATGAAAACCTGAAAATTGATATTTTGATATTTTGACTTAAACAACATTTTGAAACCTTATGAAATGATTGTATAGACTTGATAAAAGATATAACATGTTGTTATGAAGTCTATAACCTAGAAATACAATATTTTCATAAAATTGCATATTCTATGCAATATATTCAAAACACTAAATATGATTTCATTAAATATAAGCTTGTTAAAGGTGAAATCATATATAGGCATATAAACATGAAACAAAATAGTATTTTCCAATTCTATTCATTTGTTTCATAGTAAAACTTGAAAACTATCAAACCAAAACATATATGTATATATATAACTATATATATACAAAAACCAAAACGTGTATGTGTGTATATGATTGAGCTTAAAGTACTAACACACATAATATAAATTCCTAAACTAAATTACCCAAGCAATGATCTTGATCTTCAATAAGCTTGACTTGGTAATCTCGCGGATGAAGCTTGAACTTGGATCTTGAACTTTGAATAGCAAGGCTTCACCGACATTCCGCCAACCTCCTTTGGATATGATCGTTGAAGCTCTATTCCATCCATCCTCCAACAACGTTGTTTGTCTACAAAACATAGGAATGCACAAACACTAGACAAACAACATTAGTAATAAATTGTTTGTTAAACATCATCAAAACAAGAAGGCCAACAATCTCCCCCTTTTTGATGATGACAAACAATTTACAAAAAGGAATATATGCATGAAGGAAATGAACATATACAAGATAATAACTCACATGCATATAAACAAACAAGATAGATATACTCACAATATTTCTCCCCCTTTGACAACATCAAAAAGGGGACAAAAGAATTAAGAGAGCGAAAGCTCCCCCTACAAATAAGCATGGGTGAGTATGAAGCAAGTATAGGGATTGCTCCCCCTATCAAAATGCCATATGGAATATATGAAATGAATATCATGGCAAACATATGTGAGCATGCATAAATAATATGCCAAAAATCACTCACATTCAAGAGATAATGAGAACATATATAAATATATCAAGATGAACATATTGTCTCATATCAAAAAAGCCAATGTATAAAATAGATTTATGAAATCAAAAGAAGAGAAACATGAGAATCATGTAAAAAGTTTTCAAATAAAAACAAATCAACCAATGAAATCATAAATCAAAGTTTAAATCCAAAAACGTAACAGAGTTAGTTCTATTACGTTGCTTAAATATTGTACCCACTTAATCAAGCCTTGTACCTACTTGTAAAAACTTTTATACCCACTTAATCAAGTTTGGTACCCACTTAATCAAGTTTGGTACCCATTTATTCAAGTTTTGTACCCACTTAACCATGTTTTGTACCTCATTATTCTGGAATCAAAATTTTGTACACACTTATTCAAGTTTTGTACCCATTTATACACGTTTTGTACCTACTTAGGTACCGTTTTGTACCCATTTATACACGTTTTGTACCCAATTAATCAAGCCTTGTACCTATTTGTAAAAACTTTTGTACACACTTAATCTAGTTTTGTACCCATTTATTCAAGTTTTGTACCCACTTAACCATGTTTTGTACCTCATTATTCTGGAATCAAAATTTTGTACACATTTATTCAAGTTTTGTACCCATTTATACACGTTCTAGTTGTCCTACTGTTAGTTCTGGAACATCTCGAGTTAGTTCTACTTCAAGTTGGCGTTATTTCTAGCACAAGTGTTTGTTCTGTGGCCCATGTTAGGCCTATCTCAGTCATTGTTAGTTCTATATGTCTTCCTGTTAGTTCAAGCACATCTCGAGTTAGTTCTACTTCGTGCCACGTTATTTTTAGCACAAGTGTTTGTACTCGAGATGGCCATGTTATCCCTAGCTCACTCCTAGTTAGTTCTAGATGCCCTCCTGTTAGTTCAAGCCCATCTCCTGTTAGTTCTACTTCGTGCTGGCGTTATTTCTAGCCCAAGTGTTTGTTCTGTTATGTCATGATATCCCTAGCTCACTCCTTGTTAGTTCTAGCTGTCCTCTTGTTAGTTCTAGAACATACAGAGTTAGTTCTATTACGTTGCTTAAATATTGTACCCACTTAATCAAGCCTTGTACCTACTTGTAAAAACTTTTATACCCACTTAATCAAGTTTGGTACCCACTTAATCAAGTTTGGTACCCATTTATTCAAGTTTTGTACCCACTTAACCATGTTTTGTACCTCATTATACTGGAATCAAAATTTTGTACACACTTTTTCAAGTTTTGTACCCATTTATACATGTTTTGTACCCAATTAATCAAGCCTTGTACCTACTTGTAAAAACTTTTGTACCCACTTAATCAAGTTTTGTACCCATTTATTCAAGTTTTGTATCCACTTAACCATGTTTTGTACCTCATTATTCTGGAATCAAAATTTTGTACACACTTATTCAAGTTTTGTACCCATTTTTACACGTTTTGTACCTACTTAAGTACCGTTTTGTACCCATTTATACACGTTTTGTACCTACTTAGGTACCGTTTTGTACCCATTTATACACGTTTTGTACCCAATTAATCAAGCCTTGTACCTATTTGTAAAAACTTTTGTACACACTTAATCTAGTTTTGTACCCATTTATTCAAGTTTTGTACCCACTTAACCATGTTTTGTACCTCATTATTCTGGAATCAAAATTTTGTACACATTTATTCAAGTTTTGTACCCATTTATACACGTTCTAGTTGTCCTACTGTTAGTTCTGGAACATCTCGAGTTAGTTCTACTTCAAGTTGGCGTTATTTCTAGCACAAGTGTTTGTTCTGTGGCCCATGTTAGGCCTATCTCAGTCATTGTTAGTTCTATATGTCTTCCTGTTAGTTCAAGCACATCTCGAGTTAGTTCTACTTCGTGCCACGTTATTTTTAGCACAAGTGTTTGTACTCGAGATGGCCATGTTATCCCTAGCTCACTCCTAGTTAGTTCTAGATGCCCTCCTGTTAGTTCAAGCCCATCTCCTGTTAGTTCTACTTCGTGCTGGCGTTATTTCTAGCCCAAGTGTTTGTTCTGTTATGTCATGATATCCCTAGCTCACTCCTTGTTATATCTAGCTGTCCTCTTGTTAGTTCTATCACATACAGAGTTAGTTCTATTACGTTGCTTAAATATTGTACCCACTTAATCAAGCCTTGTACCTACTTGTAAAAACTTTTGTACACACTTAATCAAGTTTTGTACCCACTTAATCAAGTTTGGTACCCATTTATTCAAGTTTTGTACCCACTTAACCATGTTTTGTACCTCATTATACTGGAATCAAAATTTTGTACACACTTTTTCAAGTTTTGTACCCATTTATACACGTTTTGTACCCAATTAATCAAGCCTTGTACCTATTTGTAAAAACTTTTGTACACACTTAATCTAGTTTTGTACCCATTTATTCAAGTTTTGTACCCACTTAACCATGTTTTGTACCTCATTATTCTGGAATCAAAATTTTGTACACATTTATTCAAGTTTTGTACCCATTTATACACGTTCTAGTTGTCCTACTGTTAGTTCTGGAACATCTCGAGTTAGTTCTACTTCAAGTTGGCGTTATTTCTAGCACAAGTGTTTGTTCTGTGGCCCATGTTAGGCCTATCTCAGTCATTGTTAGTTCTATACGTCTTCTTGTTAGTTCAAGCCCATCTCGAGTTAGTTCTACTTCGTGCCCACGTTATTTTTAGCACAAGTGTTTGTACTCGAGATGGCCATGTTATCCCTAGCTCACTCCTAGTTAGTTCTAGATGCCCTCCTGTTAGTTCAAGCCCATCTCCTGTTAGTTCTACTTCGTGCTGGCGTTATTTCTAGCCCAAGTGTTTGTTCTGTTATGTCATGATATCCCTAGCTCACTCCTTGTTATATCTAGCTGTCCTCTTGTTAGTTCTATCACATACAGAGTTAGTTCTATTACGTTGCTTAAATATTGTACCCACTTAATCAAGCCTTGTACCTACTTGTAAAAACTTTTATACCCACTTAATCAAGTTTGGTACCCACTTAATCAAGTTTGGTACCCATTTATTCAAGTTTTGTACCCACTTAACCATGTTTTGTACCTCAATATACTGGAATCAAATTTTGTACACACTTATTCAAGTTTTGTACCCATTTATACACGTTTTGTACCCAATTAATCAAGCCTTGTACCTACTTGTAAAAACTTTTGTACACACTTAATCAAGTTTTGTACCCACTTAATCAAGTTTGGTACCCATTTATTCAAGTTTTGTACCCACTTAACCATGTTTTGTACCTCATTATTCTGCTGCAAATTTTGTACCCACTTATTCAAGTTTTGTACCCATTTATACACGTTTTGTACCTACTTAGGCACCCTTTTATACCTCTTTGCTCTGGATTCAAATATTGTACCCACTTAATCAAGCTTTGTACCCACTTAATCAAGCTTTGTACCTAATAATGCCATGATTTTATTTTTGTACCCACTTATTCAAGTTTAGTACCCACTAATTGCTCGTTTTGTACCCACTTAATACTGTTTTGTTCCTCATTGTTCTGGGGGAAAAAATTAATTCAAATTATCATCCATACATGATTAATCCATACAACCACATTATCATCCATACATACATAAATCTTAAGGGAAAAGTGAATAAATCAAATTGTGAACATTCAACCGAAACACATGCTTTGTTTTGGCCCTCCGTAAACTTTGTTTTGGCGATGCCGTTAACTTTCTCGACCTCCACGAGCAACATTTTTGTTCTACAAAAAAAATTGCAACTTTATCATGACAAATGCAAAGACATTGAAAAAATATTAAATCAAGATTAAGTATAATACCTTAGCTAAAGGACAACTCGTTATATAATGTCCTTTTCCCTTACAAAACCCACAAAATCTTTGTTTTTTTATACTCTTTTCTTGTGCTATCTCCACTCCCGACTTAATTCTAGTAGCATGTGCTGGTCGTCCCTTCGTGGCAACAGGCTTATCTGGATCACGAATAGTGATTTGAGTTGCTTCCTCTATAGAGATGGGTATGGATGAAGTAGGCATCTTATTGCTGGCATTGCTCTCATTTCCATTGTCGTTATGTTCCTTCTCAATCTTGGAATTCTCAACTTCTTCAAAAAATGAGTCTAAAAAAGCACTAAACTTATCATGAAGTGTACTTGAAGTCAATGTATCTTCTAGTGCCTTGTTACATCTACTCCTAAGGGCCCAATGTTTAATGATAGATAGTTGGTCTTCACTATTTGTAATGCAATTTCTAACAACTCCGCAACCAACATGTCTTGCTTTAATTGTCCATCGTTGCATGATATATCTTGATGGAATTTCTAATACTTGCTTCTTTACTAAAATGTGCAAGCTATGTTTGCATAATATACCTTCCATCTCAAATCTCGCACAAGAGCACTTAATTCTTTTTTCTTTGGATGTATCGAAAACAACATGATGCTTTACTATCTTCTTGCTTTCAGCCTCGCTATCTATATTCCAAACGGCATAAGTAGCACTTGCGCCGTCCTTCGACAACTTTTCATGAAGCATGGAGTAACTATCCTTGAGTTCTTTCTGAAAGATAGTAAACAGATTCTTCGTATAATTCTCCCGAGCTTGTTTTTCAATGGGATGTTCAATTATCAATGTAGGAACTGAGTTTGTGGACTTAAAATCTTGCTCAAGTTCAGCGGCTCGGCGAGCTCTGACAGCATTATCATACTGCTTAACAAAATCATGTAACTCGGTATTTACATTCACAAAATGATCAAAAAAAGCATTAATTCCCTCACTCCGCTGAGTAGATGTCATTCCTGCAGTAAAAGTGTCTTTAAGATACACTGGAGCCCAATGATCTCGATGATTGTATAAATTTACTAACCAACTCCTTTTATCTGCACCATATTTGTCCCTCATTTCTTCCCAACGCTTTTCAAATTTTTCTTCCGATTTACTCCAATACCATTTGTTATACTTTACACCAACATCCTCACCATAATCATTATGCATTGATTGAAGATTTTGTAAGGCATTCCTACGAAGGTGCCAAGAACAAAAGCGATGGCGAGTTTTAGGAAAAACTTTGTGAATAGCACCACACATAGCTTTATCTTGATCAGTGATGATTGTTACTGGTGCTATACCCGACATACATTTTAACCATTGGCTAAATAACCATATAAACGTCTCCTCCGTTTCATCGGCCAGTAACGCACACCCAAATAGAGTAGACTGTCGATGATGGTTAACGCCCGTAAATGGTGCAAACGGCAATTTTAAATTGTTCGTTCTATATGTAACATCAAAGCAAACAACATCTCCAAATTGCAAGTAAGAAGTCCTCGACCTACCATCCATCCAAAAAACACTTCTCATCGTCCCATCATTTTCTAAATCAAGTGCGAAGTAAAATTGAGGATCAGATACCTTTTTCTCTTGAAATTGACGAACTATGTTCACGCACTCATGGCCGACGTTGTTTCTTCGTTTAAGTCTAAGTTGTGCTTGGCATTCTTGTTGAGTGAGAGAGCCTTGTTCATTGCCATGAGCAACGTCTACAACCTTACAAATGGCAGAAGGCCGTAAACCTTGATTGTCAAGAGTATCTATCAACCTTTTTGTCGATTGAGCTCGATGAAGTGTCCGATGTGAGTAGTGCTTCTTTACCCGAGTTGGGGTGGTTAATGGATGACCATTATGCTTACTGGTTAACTTTCGGACCACCCATTTTTCAGTGCTTCTATCAAGTCCAATAACCATCCTTGCGTTGCATCCACATCTTGTATCGAACTTTCGAATTACATTCCGACCATCTTCTCTTTTATCTTTTAAAGATTTAAAGCCTTCTTTGTCACATACAAATATTCTAGATAGGATTGCATCTTTCTTTCTCGACCAAGCTGTGTGACCCTTGCGAACACCAAATCCCTTAAGTCTGGCGTATGCATTGTAGAAATTATAAGCTTCCTCATGAGTAGAGAACTCCATTCCGATATATGGATCAACGCTGTTTAAATTATCTTCACCATTTTCAACGCCCATAAGCTCATCACCATTCTCCTCATGCTCGGATGCCTATAAAAATAGAGAAACAAAACTCATGCTAAAAGACAACTATTTTGGTATATGTCATTAGTTAGTAGTACACTATAAACAATAAGATATTATCACCTGAGGGGGAACCCATGTTGTAGATAGTAGATCATGGTCCTGGCCTTTATCTTCTTCCATTGTTGCCTCACGTGAGAGAATTGTTGGAGTGTCTATACAAGCTATCAATTTATCACAGATAAGAAGTTCAAAATCGCTCAAAAAACGTCATCAAGTTGATCTTTCAATTTCACTAAACAATTTCATT